CCGACAGCAGGATCATGTGGCATCTGAAGACCATCCACAGCGGGAGCCGCCACACCTCCCGACAACTGGCCGTAGGCATCGGCAGCACGCTTGGCCGCCACCTTCTCCTTGGCCAGCAGCTCATCGTGCTCGACTTGCAAGGACGCGACGCGCAGCACCTGCGAAGCCAACTGGGCCGTGGCTCGGTCGAGTGCTGCGGCGGCCTTGGACACCTTGGCCTTGAGTGCGTCGTGCTCCACTTTGGCCTCCTTCGAGACAGCTGCGGGGTCGCCAGACTTGACCGCCCTCTGCGCGACGATACGTGCCCGCTGCTGGTTGGGCAGAAGAGCCACAAGAGCACAGAATTGAGCATCATCGAGAGCGAGAAGAGCCTCCACCTGGCAGTCCTCCAGCCTGTCGTCTTTGGCCGTGCCTTTGTCACCTGCACCCGCCTTGGAAGAGCTCTCGGCTCCAGGCTTCTGGGCGCCACAACAGAAGCACGTACGCCTCCATCCAAAATTGTTCGTGAACTTGCACTTCTTGACAGCACATGTCCAGACTTGGCCACCCCAGTACGAGGAGGGCTTGCCATTGCTGCGCGGCCCACTTGGAGCCATGTGCCGAGAGTCGAAGAAGCAAAATCGGCCACCTGCAGGCCAGCAAGCTCGAGAGACGGCCACGGACAGGGCCGAAAGCTAATCGCTGATTCTCAGGCGTTTATAGCCCTTCACAACGTTTAGCCTTGAGCCAAAATGGCTACGGATCTCCTCCTCCTCGTCCTCCTCCTCCTCCTCCTCCTCCTCGTCCTCCTCCTCCCGTCCGCGAAAGGGTTTACGGGGCCGCGCTGGTCGCTGCCCGCAGGGGGCCGGGTCCCCCCCGCCGAGCGCGGGGTGGTGAGTTCCCGCAGGTGGCGACCTCTTCCTCCTCCTCCTCCTCCTCCTCCTCCTCCTCCTCCTCCTCGAAGGAGGAGGGGGAGGAGGCGGAGGAGGAGGAGGAGGAGGAGGAGGCGGAGGAGTAGGAGGAGGAGGAAAAGGAGGAGGAGGAGGAGGAGGAGGAGGAGGAGGAGGAGGAGGGGAGGAGGAGGAGGAGGAGGAGGACGAGGGGGAGGAGGAGGAGGAGGAGGAGGAACAGGAGGAGGAACAGGAGGAGGAACAGGAGGAGGAACAGGAGGAGGAACAGGAGGCGGAGGAGCAGCAGGAGGACTCCTGGGGCATCTTGGGGCCCCCCTTCCTGCGGGCCTCTTACGGGGGCCTGGCGGGGGGCGCCTGGAGGCCATCTATTTTGTGGTGGAGGGCTCCATGTGGCACTTCGGTTATAAGCCGGGCTTGCCCCGGGAATAGTCAAAAATAGCAAGAAAATAGTCAGGGGACGACTGTTTAAGTATTTTGGCATATTGTTTGAAGATGTGTTTTGACTTTTGAAAAATGTTTCGCCCCAAAAATCCGCCTGTGGGGGGACATGCCCGACCTAACACTTCTGTGTCCCTGGGCCCCTCTGGCTCGCCACTTGGGCGCTTCGTGGGCCTCCCTGCAGGCCCATGGAACCCTCTTCGGAGGGTCTTGCGCGCCACATAGGCTGTCTTGGCTGCTTCGACTGCATAGGCTGTCTTGCGCGCCACATAGGCTGTCGACTACACGTAAATGTGACCCTTCGCCGGAGTGGCCTTTGGTGCGCGCTCACTGGGGTCCCCCGATCGCCGCGTTCGTTGCGATAGTAGCGTCTTGCGCGCTTGTGTGTTGGCCCCCTCGCGCCCCTCAAAAAGCCGCGCACCAAAGGTCACTCTTGCCCAGGGTCGCTCTTACGTGCAGCCGATCAAGGACAGAACGCGGTGTTGCGGAAGTCATGCAAAAGCAAAGCGTTGCTCAAGGATTGTTGTTTCTTGCGCCGGCCGCCAGATCTCCCAAGACGGCCCGAGGGGCTTCAAGGAGAGTCCCAGGGCGGCCCCCTGGGCCATCTTAGAGCTGTGGGCCTCTGGAGAAGACATGCGAGCAGCCGCGGCAGCGCCAGAGAGCGCCCAAGAAGCTTGGCAATCTGTCCGTAGCCATTTTGGCTCAAGCCATTTTGGTTCAAGCGGCTTGGCTTGAAGGCTTTCCAGAAGCCCTCCAATTTACGAGTACTGAATATCTACTATGATTTCTCCCATGGCTTTCACGAAGGCGTCCTTTGGCGTCTTCGTGGGCCCCCTCGTCGTGATCCTTGGCGTGCCGCACGCAGCCGCTCTTGTGCTATCCACGGCCCCTTCCGAGCTGTGGTGGAAGTCGGAGCTGAATGACTTGCTGCGGGCCGCATGGGGCGTGCGGTCTGGTGACCGGATTGCGCACGGCGCCCAGGCCTGGAACCCTGAGCCCGTCCCAGGCAACGGGGTGCAGCTCGCCACCGTCGACGACGCCACGGATCCGTGGGCCGTCTCCGCGGGCCGCGACGAGTGCTCCGGCTGCGACTTCACGGTCAACCTGCGGTGCGAGGGCCTCCGGCTGGGTCGCCACGCGGCGTGCCACCGCATCACACATTGCCTGCTGACCATGTACGGTATGATCCAGCTGGCCCACATGGCCGCGAGCAGTCGGCCCGACGCCCAGATCTGCGCGCTAACGTGGACGCAGCCGGACGGCATGGACTTGCGCAGTTTCTTGGGGGACGTGGTCGGCATCAAGTGGCACTCCCTCGTCGACGAGAAGGACAGCTGTGCGAGTGGGCTGCGGTACCACGCAGGCTACCGGACTCGCAGCATGGGCGCGCAGCAGTCTTATTTGGATCAGTTCGGACTGGACCAGAACATGGTCCGCTCCTATTCCATCAACTTCGACAATAACTTGAACTGGATGCAGCGCGATTTCTCCGCATTTGTTGGAAAGGACGGTGATTTTTCGCCGCAGTTCGTCATAATCCACCGCATGCAAGTTCCCGGAGGTCCACCGAACACGCGTATGTTTCACGACGCCGATTTGGCGAAGTTGAAGGACTCGAAGAGTGGTACGAAGTTGGGCAAGGTAGATCTGCCGCTGACAGTGTACTACGGAAACGAAAGCGTCGCAGATACCGTGAGAATGTTCACCCGGGCCGCGGAGATCATCGGCTACCACGGCGCAGCGATGGCCAACACTTTGTTTTCGGCCCGAAGGCATTGCGTGCACCACATCTCGACATTCAAAGATTTGCAAAGTCAGGTGCACTGGCGCATCAACGATGACGTGGCCAGCATGAACAAGTTGGGCAGTTTCAACGTGTACGACATCCCATTGATCGATCTTTTCAACGATAACAGCGTGAACGTTGAGGATTACGAGAAAACAGAAGATAAGGATCATTTCATCAAGGATTTACCTTGGGCACCGCTCTCAGATTACCACATTGCACAGTTACATGTTGCTGTGGGTCAGTGTCTGAAGAACTGGGTGGAGGGCCACTGGTAGACTGCCAACCCGCATGGTTGTCTCACGCGCGAAGACTCTTCACCCTTGCCTTCCGCATGGTTTCTCGGAAATACGATTGTACATGAATTCGCAGCCTTGACCGCGGCACAAGCGAGAGTGCCCGAGGTCGAGCGGCATCGACTGGTGTTGCACGAGCGTCGCGCACGATTGGTGCGGATGAAGCTCCTCTTTTAATCGTTGGATTGCTTGGCCTAGGGAAAAAGAAAACAAAAAAGCTTGGCAATATGTGTCCTGGGGCTCGCAAAACACATTGACACTACTCAACATGGAGACCTCGAATGGACTCGAGGACACTCCACCTGGTGCTCTTTCAGTCCAGTTCCTTTTTCGACGATCAGGGGGAAGGCCACCCCGACGCCTACCTCGTTGCATGCAGCGGTACTCCACCGGGTGCCCCGCGGCACGGTGGCGGATTGCTTCAGGCCCGTGCGGGCTGCGCTGTCTCATCATGGTCGCCGTTGCTCAGTGAACGATACATCTATATATATATATATGTAGATATATGTGTATATATACATATAGTAATAGTAGTAGGAATAATAATAGTAGTAGTAATAATAATAATAATGATACTATTAATAATAACCATAATACTAATACGAATAATAATAATAATAATAACTGAAAAAATAATACTAATAATAATAATACGAATGGCAATAATATAATAGTAGTAGTAATAATAATAATGATGCTGATAATACTAGTAATAATAACAATAATATCATAAATAATAACATCAACAATACTAATAGTAGTAAGAATAATAATAATATACACACATACATTTACACAAGTTGGTTTGTGTGTATGTGTGTGTGTGCTTGCGCGGTTCCCTATAGGTGGGCAGGCTGCGCTCTGCTGCTTCTGAGTTGGGCCCCCTCGCGCTCTGCCCCCTTCGGCCGGTGGCCTGCCTCCGCCGCGCTGAGCGGCGCGGCGTGGCCGCGACGCCAAGAGGTGTGCGCGTTGGCTGCCGGTCCATCGGTGGCCGCGGTGCTGCCCTCGACGACACGTAAAGAGTGACCCTTCGCCGGAGTGACCTCTGGTGCGGGCCGAAACGGGGTCCCCCGATCGCCGAGCGCGATGCGGCAGTAGTGCCTTGCGCGCTCGCGTTCGGTCCCCTCGCGGCCCCCCAGAAAGCCGCGCACCAAAGGTCACTCTTGCCCTCCTCCTCCTCCTCCTCCTCCTCCTCCTCCTCCTCCTCCTCCTCCTCCTCCAGGTCACTCTTGCCCATGGTCACTCTTGCGTGTCGTCGACGCCCGCGAGCGCGCGGGGAGCCACAGGGCCGGGCGCGCCTCGTGCCTGCTGGCGGCGGCGCCGCGGTGGAGAAGGCCGCTCCGGGTTGCTCGGCTGCTAGTTTCGTGTGATGCGTGACTCCTCGAGCAGGGACAGCCATCGCTCGGACGTGTGCATTCTTTCTCGGCGAGAGCCATCGCTCGGACCACCCTGGGCCACGGAGCAACAAAAACACGCGCGGAACCGCAACGTGCACGGGAAGTGGACGTCCGAGCGACGGCACGGTGTGCGCGTTGGCTGCCAGTCCATCTGTGGCCGCGGTGCTGCCCGCGAGCGCGCGGAGAGCCACAGGACCGGGCGCGCCTCGTGCCCTCCGTCGGCGGCGTCGCGGTGGAGAAGGCTGCTCCGGTTTGCTCGGCTGCCAGTTTCGTGCGAGGCGTGGCTCGTCGAGCAGGGGCCGAAGATCGCGGGCGAGGTTTCTGCCCCAATCCCCGAGTTTCGCCCGAAACGTTTGGCCGCTCAGAAACATGGGAAAGCCTCGGGATACACCCCCAGGGGGCTCATCGGACGCACGCCCATCGAGGATGGACACCCCCCCATCGCATATCCCAGGGTTGGGCCCCAAATCTCAGGTCCATCCGGAAACCCCACGAGGCCTGGGATGGGGGTCGACATATCCCCTGTTAGAAGAAGAAGAAGAAGAAGCAACTTCATAAACGTGCGGAGGTCCGCGCGGGCGTTTCGGATCGGCGCTGGGCCCCCCTCCCCGGCGCGCGCCAGGGAGGGGGGCCAGAGGGGAGGCCAGCGCCGACCCAGGAAGGCCGTGCGGGCCTCCGCAGGTTCTGTGTGTGTGTGTGGGTGTGCCGTTCTTCGGGGGCCCCCAAACGGCCAAACGGGGTGGTGACCACACCGTGCGGTGAGTCGGTGGGGCTTCGGGGTCACCACACGGTTTTGGGACTCGGGTCGTTCTCCGAGGACGTCCCGGGCGACTGGGGCCTAGGGGGTCCCAACACCGTGCGGTGACGGACCGTGCGGTGAGGTCTTGGGGGATTTCGAGGTCACCGCACGGTCTGTCACCGCACCGTTTCGGGACTCCAAAGTTCTGTCTGACTCGAGTGCGGGCTGCAGGTGTCGGAAACAATTCAGCAACACTCATGCAGAACATATGGTTTGAACCTCCCCCCCCTCCCCCCAAATGCAATGTTGGTTTCGGATCTTCCGATTTTCGGCCTCCGAGCGGTCTTGCGAAAGTCTGTCAACTTTGAATTGCGGGGGAGGAGGGGAGTGTTGCTTAATTGTTTCCCTCAACCGTGTTGCAGTGCATCTTGCCGTTTCGTGTGAGGTTTGTGCGAAAGTGGAAGAGGACGGTTGTCTCCAGGCCTCCTGGATGGGGTCCGAGTGGACGGGGTCGGAGGATCGCGCCGCATCGGCGATGCATCGGCGATGCGGCTCGATGTAGAGCCCGATTTTCTCCACGCTGGCGTCGCCGATGCATCGCCGATGTCGCCGATGCATCGCCGATGTATCGGCGATGCGGCGCGATCCTCCGACTCCGACCCCATCTAAACATTCGTGTGATAATGGAAGAGCACGGCTGTTGCCACGCAGACATCGAGCAAGCTTTCGGCGGGTGCCACAGATGTGACGGCGATTGCGGGGGGATGTTCCGGCGCTACATGCCATGATGACGCAACGCAGAGGTGGATGAGAGTGAAATGATGGTTGGGAAAATCACAGTCAGGAGCCATTTCGCATCAGGACGGCGAGAAGGTACGAGCAATGAGACGTGACGCCGTGCAACGGACGTGACGGCTATTGCGGGGGGATGCTCTGGCGTTACATGCCATGATACGGATGATGCAGCGCAGAGGTGGATGAGAGTGAGACGAGGGTCGGGAATCACAATCAGGAGGTCCGAGGTCGGTCACGGCACGCATCCACGGATACCGAACACATGAGCGCAAAGGGAAGCGGAGTGGGGAGGGAGGGACCGGATGTCAGGCGTGGCGCGAGGGCACCCAGCTTGCCCTCTCCCTTTCTCCCCTCCCTCCCTTGGCATCGCTCGGACGTGTGCGTTTTTTCCTCGGCGAGGACCATCGAGCCATTTGGGGAGAAAACCACGCACGAAACCGAAGAAAGCACAGGGAATGGACGTCCGAGCGATGGCCAGCTCCTGTTTCTGCTCCTGCCTTTCTCTGCTAATCAAAGCTGTGCGCGTCCGGCTTAGCTTTCAGCGGAAGAGGTTCGCTCTCGCCCCGCAGATCGAAAAAAAGCTTCTGCTCCTGCCTGAAGTTATCCCTCCCTGGCCCATCGTCATCACTGCCTGAAAGCTGGGCGGACTCGACTCGTGTGACCGGGAGCCCGCCGCTGCCTGCAACTTGTCGGCTGCACGTAAGAGTGACCTTCCGCCCGGGTGACCTCAAGTGCGGGCCCAGCGGGGTCCCCGATCGCCGAACGCGATGCGGTAGTAGCGTCTTGCGCGCTCGTGTGTACAGCCGGGTCGCTGAAGAAGGAACCCTTTTCGTTGGGGAGGGGCTCCGTGCTCCTCAATTGTAAGTCCCCCCGCGGCCACCAAAAAACGCCGCGCACCAAAGGCCACTCTTGCCCAGGGCCACTCCTTGCGTGTAGCCGGACTCGGGCGACGTGGACGCACCCGTCCGGCCGCACGGGCACTCGCGCGCGAGCTGCCCGCGCAGGGCCGGGCGTGAGCGCCGGCCTCTCCGCGCGGCTTGCCGCGTGCCTCTGCACGAACGAAATGGGCACGGAAAGAGTGGGTACAATGCCCAACAGCAGTTCCTGTTCATTTTGAACAGGATTCGCTGTCCACGCCGCCGCGGCCTGTGTCCATTCGAGACAGAAGGCCGCCTGCCCAACAGCGGCCGCTGTTGCTTTGGGACAACATTTGTTGTTGGGCATTGTACCCATTTTTTCCGTACCCATTTCGGGCGTCCAAAGTGCCAGGACTGCACAGACTACCACGTAAGGTCGCCGTGTCCTCGCGCGCAAGATCGACGATCGACGCTCGATGCATACCTCAGGAGGGAAAAAACACACACGGACACAGTGAATCGTCGATTCCCCAGAAAATGTGGGAGAATATGGGAAGTGGGGGGGAGGACAGACCAAGCACATCTGGGAAAAGAAAATGGAATTCTGTTATCTGTGTCTATTTTTTTGTGTGTCCCAGGGCCCCTTCAATACCCCGGGCTGCTGCTCTCCACTCCGGGCACAAGGGGGAGCGGTGCGCGGAGGAGACAGCGTGGCTCCGGAGGCCTGAGTGTTTGTCCTGCCGCCGCTCTGATCCTCTCGCGGGGTCGGGGCGTGAGCAGGGGCCCATGGATCAGATGTTGGTCCTCCTGCTCCTCCTCCTCATCCTCCTTCCTCCTTCCTCCTCCTCCTCCTCCTCCTCCTCCTCCTCCTCCTCCCTCCTCCCTCCTCCCTCCTCCCTCCTCCCTCCCTCCTCCCTCCTCCCTCCTCCCTCCTCCTCCCTCCCTCCTCCCTCCCTCCTCCCTCTCCTCCTCCCTCCTCTCTCCCTCCTCTCCTCCTCCTCCTCCTCCTCCTCCTCCTCCTCCTCCTCCTCCTCCTCCTCTTCCTCCTCCTCCTCCTCCCCCTCCTCCTCCTCCTGTATAGCATACGCATGCATGGTAACGCTTGGCCATGCAGAACAAACTGCATGACACTACGCCACCGAAAACGTATCGCGACTCTCCGCCCCGCCGCCCCGTCTATGGGCAGCGCAGCAACGCAGGACCCGCCGGGCCGCGGCCGGCGCCGGCGGAGCGGGGCCCAGCGGGGCCGCAAGACGGGGCCTGCCGAGCGCTGCCGGGGCCGGCGGCGCTGAGCGGGGGCCCGCCACGCGCTCTCCCTGCCTCCCTGCCCTCTTGCCCCCTCGCCCTTCCTTTTTCCCTCGCCCCTCCCCCGCCTCGCTCCCCCCCTCTCCCGCCTCGCCGCCCCCCGCCGCCCTCGCCTGCCAGGAGGCTGACCGCGGCGCGGGCCGACGAGCGCAATCCCGCTCCTCCGCCCCCCACCCTCCCAGGGCACCGGTCTTTCTTTTCTTCCTGCGTCGTCGTCGTCGCCACCGTCGTCGTCGTCGTCGTCGTTCGTCGTCGCCGTCGCCGTCGCCGTCGCCGTCGCCGTCGTCGTCGTCGTCGTCGTCGTCGTCGTCATCGTCGTCGTCGTCGTTGTCGTCGTCGTCGTCGTCTGCCCCCTCCCGAGGCCTCCGGGTGCCGCCTGGAGGCCTCCGTGCGCCTCCCTTGCTTGGCGCCCCCCGGGTGCTTGGGAGGCCGTTGAAAAGGCCCGAGGGCGTGAGCCCGAAGCGCGCCGACCAGGGAGGCCGTCGGCGGTGCCACCCGGGCCGCCGCCGCCGTCCGTCGGCGTCGGCTTCGGCGTCGGCGTCGGCGTCGGCGTCGTCGTCGTCGCCTTCGTCGCCTTCGTCGCCGCCGTCGTCGTCGTCCTCGTCCTCGTCCTCGTCCTCGTCCTCGTCCTCGTCCTCGTCCTCGTCCTCGTCCTCGTCCTCGTCGTTGCCGCCCTCGCCGGCGCCGGCGCCGGCGCCGGGGGGGCGCCGCCTCGGTCGGCGTCGCCCCCCCCGCCCTTGGGGGTCGGTCCCGACCCAGGAGGGCCCCGGGAAATTGGCCGGGGTGTGTAAGTGTCGCCCCCAACGACCGCCAGCGCCAGAACACGGGCCGGCACCAAGGACTGGCGGAAGATTTTCCATCGTGCCTCGCTTGTGCCCGCCCTGGCCCGACCCGGCCTTCTCGCCCCCCCTTCTCCCCCCTCCTCCTTCTGGCCATCCCTCCCTCCTGGCGACATGACTGGGTTCAAGCCACCCCCTGGCCCCACACCCGGGCCACGCCTACTCCTGCGACCGAGCGCAGCGCGGCGCATGGCGCGCCGGTCGCAGCCCCGCCCCCGCACGCCGCGGGCGTCCAGTGAGAGCCGGGTCCGCCGCCGCAGGGACCAGCGCCGCAGCAGCGGCGGCCGCGACCGGCGCCGCGCGCGCTCGGAGGGCCGCCGCCGCGAAACTTCCTCGCGGGCGCCGACGTTCCCGGACAACCTTGGCCCCCAGCAGCAGGTTCGACCCGACCGCGGCGACCGGGCGCACGGGGGCAAGGCGTTCTTTGGGGCGACGCCCAAGACGCCCGGGGGCGCGCCGCAGGCAGAAACCCCGCTGGCGGCGCCGTTCCCACCGGCCGTGCCCTGGGCGGCGGGGCTGACGCCGCCGGCGGCGGGGTGGTCGATGCCGTTCAGCCCGACGGCGTTGGCGCTGGCCGCGGGGCAGCTGGCCCAGGCGGGGACACCGCCGCGGGCGGCTGGGCACGCCGCTGGGCGCGCGGGGGCCGGGCCGCCGCCGGACGGGGGGCCGCGGGACATGGCGTTCCCCGACGCCGCGGGCGGCGCGC